CTGCAAAAGCAACGTAAAAAAACACAAACTCACGGAACAATCCTATTTCAATTATCGTACTTCAACATCTAATCTTTAAAATTCCGGATCATTTAAGTTTATCCCGAATTGGACGTAGGAAATTGAGGTGTCCCAGAAATATGCTGCACATGCACTTGTTCGCCTCTTTCATGCTCCGTGCGTTTATGGCATTGATGAAGGATATCTTGTTTGTCTCTGGACTCGGCCTAGCTTCAGAGTTCATAATAAAAAATGGGCACACGTATTATTCGCTAGATGCGAGCCGCTGGCTTTGCAAAATGTTCACCAGCTTCTGGCAGTACTTCATCCTCGCAAATTACTTCTGGATACTGATGGAGGGCCTTTACTTGCACAACCTAGTCTTTCTGGCGCTCTTCACCGATCCCAACTCGAGCATCACTGTCTACGTTTGCCTTGGGTGGGGTAAGCTAATTCTCGCAGCTAATTCCTGACCAAAATGGTATAATTGCTTGGAGATTCTGAGCTTCAGAGATACATATTTCGTTGAGTGAAATATTTAATTTAGAAATTAGCTCAAATATTGTTTTCCTGCTTTTCTCTTCTTATTAAGATATTTTTATTGTGAAAAATAATGGTAGTAATTACGTGAAAATGTAATTGTCTTATGTTATTACTTACTCAGTCTTTTATTGTTTTTATGTTAGCACTCTCTGAATTGCTTTCGGAAAATTATCATGTAAAGCAAAAAAGTTTCTTCACGTGCCTGTGTTCTCAGGTCTGCCAGCTATATTTGTATTGTGTTGGATAGTGGTGAGAGTAACCCTAGAAAATAGTTTCTGCTGGACCACTCATGAAAATTCCAAACTCTTCCTTTTCATTGAAATTCCGACCATAGTGTCCATTTTGGTAAGTTAATAATGACTGCGTATTTCATTTTATTTCTTTAACTTTCGACTGTTAACATTGGAAGCCATAGAAATTTAGGTTTAGATACAGTGAAGAACATATATTGTACTAACGACAATAAAACGTTGTCGATAATTTAAACTGGTGTAACTTTGTAAAAAAAACTTGGTCTCATTTTAAAGCATGAAACTTCCTCTTCTTTAATAGACACGAGTTTTTTTCGAAAATTATTTTACTTCATGATACATGTATCTTAAGAATGGTAGGTGAAACAACAAAGTCCTGAAGGGAGAATTGATTGGTATAAAAGATATGAGGATTTTTTTTTTTAATAGATTCAATGAACGTAGAAAATGCATCTGCAACTTTTCTTTAAATAAAATTATACATTTTTTTATTCATTAGTCGATGAAGCCTGACATTCTCTATAAAAAGTATCTTTGTATATCGAAGAATGATTAGTTTAGGTAGGAGACGTTTTAACTTCAATTCTGTAAAAATCTATCATATAAAGAATGAGAGGATAAAAACAGTTTTCTGTTCTTGTTATTTATGCGTGGATTTTATACAGAGTAGGAACCTTATTACAGAGAATGTCGAGCTCCATCGATTAATGTATAAAAAAAAAGTTGTATAATGTATAAAAAAAGTTTCCTTAAAAAAAGTTGCATTTGCATTAGATTTTTTAAGTGCATCGTTGTGTTTATAAAAAAAAAGTAAGCCTGCAGCAAAAGAGATCACATCAGTCAACTTTCTTCTATCTCTTACCATTTTTGAGATATAACAAGTCACAATTGAACAACAAAAATTACTCTATATGTTATTATACAATATTGTCAATTGTGATGATATTATTTGAGAGTTGAAAAAACTGCACATTTCAATCTATTTTTCAACTTTTTAAACTCCATTACTAGTTACTTTCGTTGCCCATCCTTTCAAGAAACTTACAACTTCTTCTACTTCAAAACTTTTCGACCACTTCGATAATAATGTGAGAGCCATTGTTTTTAAATTCTACAGATCAGCTTCGTATTGTTTGTCAATATCGTTCGAGTGCTTCTGTTGAAGTTGAAATCCACCGTATCAGAGGAGACACAAAGATATAAGTGAGTTGCTGCGCCTAATTTGAGATACATCCTTCCAGTAACTTGCTTATTTGCATAACAATCTAGTTTTGCAAGAATTTTTGCAAGTCACCTGATTTCAAAAGATAAATTGTCTTTTTCTCCCTCCACCCTGTTTTGCCCGTGTTAAAAACTGTGGATCACTTTGCAGGAGATGGGCGAAAAGTACTTTGGTTCTGGTACCACTTTTTGGAGTTCACTATACTGTTTTCTTGGGCATGTCTTACTGCATCAGTGTAAACGAGACAGTTGAAGTTGTATGGCTCTTCTGCGATCAACTATTCGCTTCTTTCCAGGTATATGGATCTGAATTTCCACCTTTTTCTTTCATCCTCGTTATTTTATCGTTTTATTATTATTTTTATCTATAGCATTCAAGATTTTCTCTTCACTCCATTTTGGCTCAAAATTCCATGAAATTCGTTCCTTTCATTGTTCAGTCATTAAAATATTATTATTGAAAGTCATAACAATTTTTAAAGTTTTAAAAAAAAATTTATTAAATTGTCATGGCCCGCTGTAATCCAAATGTACTACTCAAGGGTTAATCACATTACTCGTTGTTTCGCTGATATTAGGGTTTCTTTGTGGCGGTTTTGTATTGTTTCCTGAACGGTGAGGTGCAAACAGAGGTGTGCAGGGTGATCAGAAGCCAGAGGTTACCCCGTTTCCGCGCCAGATGGATTTCAAGACCATCCACTCACTCTGGCAGCACGTGTAGCTGCAATACGTCGAAACTTGGCAGACGATCAAAGCGGCCACGTTGGTGGAAAGACCCTTGGCTCTGTTTTCTTCACGACAGGACAGCTCGACGATCTACCCACTCGCTGGCGAGTACACAAGGTGTCCTCCCTACCAAGTCCTCTGATCTCTTCTATGTATATTTCCATGTTGTTTTTATATGCTGCTCAGTGTGTTGCTTGATTTTTTTCATTTCTTCACCCATCTGCTTGTCTCTCCCTATTGTTAATCGTCTCTCTGTATCGTAATCGAATAAATTTATATGTTATGTGTATATTTTAATCTGACAAATAATTAATAAGCGTAATTGAATCGCTTGTTATAGATTGGTTGATTACTCTTTCATTATTTTCTGTAAAATTATGTTGAATAGGCTATTACTTCTTCTGTAAATCTGTCGTTCATAATTAACGTCAGAAAGTAATTAAGGGATACTAAAGTTTCTCATTTTTCTGTGACTATTAATATTGCAACGCTTGCCTCAGTCTCTTACCTTCACAAAGGATAATGATATAACTTGTGTCGTTTTTTATGTGCTTTCATTCCTTTACATTTGATTGTGCCGTCAAACAGTCCGTATTTGTGCTGGAAAGTCTCCGCAACACAGAAAAATATTGAACAAGGGGAAAAATATTGAAATTTCGTTTTATATCATTCTATTTATCGTCCGAATAAAGCTTAGGTATGTCTTCAAGCGATTCAGATTTTTCACGTGCATGTTATATTTATATCAATTGTGCCCTACATAGAATAATTTTGATTAAGACCCTTTAGTCTCTGAAACAAGGACAACCGTTCAATATTCAACATCATTATTCAATATTATGTAATATTTATTTCTGTAAATTCTTCGTATATTCTACATATTTCATTCTATCTTGTATATTACATTTTTATCCTACTTTTATTATATGTTATAAATTCTGTATATTTTCTATGAATCATTAAAATTTTGAGAAATCTAATTTTAGAATATATTATATCTATATTTTAGAATATAAATAGTTTGATTCTGTGAATGAAAACGTTCAATGTATTTTTTTTTTCTTTTTCGAGGGAGTAAGAAAATATAATCGTTTATTTTTCTAGACATTGAAACCCGAAGAGGCAGTTTAGCGAGCAGCAGGGGTTACCTGGAAATCGCAGGAAACGGACAAAATGCACATCCAGGAAGTCAGAATCCACAGGCAAATCATACGTCACCTCTTCACAGCAAATACACGGATCAATCGTTACTTTCGTTCTGCTCGAACGTGAGTTTTCTTTATCCATCGTGTATCACATGCTTTTTATTCGCATGGTCGAACGAACGAAGAAATTTCGTGAAACTTATTTTAATTCTGCTGTCTGTGCAATTAAACTCTTTCATATGTAATATTATTATTTTTTGTTTTTTAATTATTAATTATATATACATTATTGATAAATTAATAAAGTAAATTAATAAAGTATTATGATCAATAATACTAACATCATTTTAAGAATGAATAAATTAAGTTTTCATTTTAAGAATGAATAAGTTAAATTTTTACTTGAAATATGTTCAAGGTTTCAGAAGCAACACCCTGCACAGGAACTAATGCGGATAAAATTCGCGAGCAGCATCGTTGGAGTGATTCAGAATGTTGTCATCTTACGTATGAACTGCACACCTTACATCATGGGCCTCCGTGAAGCCCATAATCCAATTTAGATCACTTTACCAGAGAATTCTGCTAAACAACTGATAAAAATGACAAGGAAAAGGACGTGCAGTTTACTCGATTTCTGTAGAACGTAGAGACTGTGAAATATGTCAATGATTCGCCGAAACTATGTCAGTCCTAACATGGTTAAAATGTCTTGAATAATTCTATTCTCATATTTAATAATTGTCATATTTCTTTTATCGTATTTTATATTGTATATATATTTTGTTGGAAAATGAGGGACATATGAATATTATTGGAACAAAAATTTTTTTACTAAGAAATAGTAAATTAAACTTTTGTAGTACAAGTTATATTTGCATTATAAACTGACACAGTAAAACATCATCGTTTAATATTTTGGGTAATTTAACGAAAAATAATTTTCCAGTCTTTCTAGTAGGCTTTTTGTTAAAATTGCAGACTTAAGAGCTTAAAGACTCGTTTATTTTTTATACGAACCCTTTTATTCTCTAATATAACATGTAGATGAATGAACTGCACCAGTATACATTACCTGCAAACACTTGTAAATTTATATAATAATTCCATCATAAATCCATTTTTAGTTATTTTTGAATCTGACAGAAACTGCTGAACTGGAGAAACTGAAATGTCAAAAATATTTTATGATAAAATTTTGATAAAATTGTTTTTATTATGGAAAAATGATATGGTTTATCCATTGGTGTAAGCTTTGGTGCAGTTATATATTGGGAATTCGAATAATTGTTCGTGAATAACATTTGCGTGTTTAATCCTGTATGTGCATTCTAATGCAAATGGATGTTTCTATTCGTGTGTGCATGAAGTGGGTGTTTATTGCAACGAATGTGATACTGTTGCGATCAATTGAAAATTTTCCATGTGCATTGTTGTCTATCTGGAATCTAATCTAATGAAATCTAATCGTTTCATTTATTATGACATTTTTGATTGTTCTTAGATCAATCATTAAATATAAACATTATGAAGATAGAACTTGCTATTAATAACAAGGATCACGTGGAACTGTTTCGATGACTATTTCGTTGTTAATTATTGTTTACTGTTTTTGTTTTTAATATTGTTTTATCGGAGAGATTTGTTGGAAAAATATTACTGAGCATACACATAACATGTATTACAAGTACATTTTAATTTAATTACTGTTACAATTGGAATTTAAAACGAAAGCTTCATAAACAGAATTTTTATGGTACATCAAGATTTCCAACTTCATGAAATCTGCTTCGAAACTAAGTTCTTTCTTGATAATTAGATTGAATTTTATACCACATTTAAAAATATTTATGTTATCTTTTACTGGAACTAAAGGAAATATAGTGTTTCCAAATTCAGCTCGCACGTATATACATACATGTTCGATGTAGTACATAACTGATTGGAAATAAAAATGGTACATGTGTATAAATTATATTTGTCATTTTTTTTCAACAGACTGCTTTATTTGAAAATTATTTGGTGTATATTTTCGCCCCAGCTATATCATTTTTACAATAATTTATATTATTTCGTTAAATTAAGATATAACATTAAAATATTACAAATCGTCTATTTATCAGTCATTAAACGCCCGAGCATTATCGTCTTCACTTATAAACTGTGGGACTACCGTTTTCTTCTTTTCAGATGATGATGCTAGTAGTTCACTAAAAATAAGAAATAGAGCACGTAGTATGAATTGAAATTTACAAAATTAAAAATATTTCATGGATGAATTGTAGAATATCAAATCATAGGAAAGGAATTTCGACTTATATTTTAAGAATTGGGAAATCTAATTACTAGATTTACTTTTTTAATTATTAAAAATAGAGATGTGATTCGTGGTACCAGCGGTTATTTATAAAATAAATTAATGATGTAAATACAGGAAAGAATTATTACTATTGATAACAATTCTGAACTAGTTATTTTATCATCTGATATGACTAATAATAAAAATAGTAATTATTTACAGATTTATGAGACTGGAGATTATGCATCCTGGAGATACTTAATTATTTCTTTAGATTGAGAGATCAAATATATATGTAAAGAAACATGTATAAGACCAACGGTATTCCATCTTTGCAGGATTTGAAAATCTGCTTACCAATCAGTGACGTTCTCTGCAGCATCACATATATTTTTCTGCTTATTGAAAAGTTTCCCGGCGCTACAAATTTGTAATCGTGGACGACCGTTTATGCATACATAGTAGCGCTGACAATCGTGAGGACTTGGGTAAAATGAAAACCCATACTGAAGTCCATGATCAAGATAATTTGGACATTGAAATCCTAAGAAGGCTACATTGACAGAGGTAAATTAATCGTTAGAAACTGCAATTAAAAATTAAGATCATGAATTACGAATATGAATTAAAGTACTGATTGGAATTATTGATTGAATTCACAACTGTAATCATTATTTTAATTCAGTGTTAAGAAGAATTCTTTTGTAGTCAATATAGAGGTTTTGCTAATCTAGAAATTTTACAAAGTTTATATGATACAGTTATAAAAAAAAAACTACCAAACTTGAGAAAAGTGATAAAATAGTAGTAGTAGATTAAAAATGTTTAAAGAAAGAATTATATATAAGATTTGCTTACTTTCAGCGTCACAGTCTGGTACTTGATCAGGCCAGTCGCAACGATAAGATTCAGAATTGAATGCCAGTCCCTCGGGACAGTGGAAAATGTGGGCTCTTCCTTCGACGCAGGTTATGAATTTTCCACAATTCTGTTGATCACCGAGCTTGAAGTAACCATACTGATGTGGACAGTCATCAGTTGGCTGTGCAGGTTCTGAAAATCAATTTTTACTGTTTCACTTTAATTATAATAAATGGATACTTCTCGAATATTTACTTGTAAAAATTGCGTAGTTTGTTAAAATTAAATAGCAAAGATATTTAATTTAACATTTATATTCATGGAAATTGACATTTTAAAATTCTTCTTAGTTTCTTCTTTTTAAAATTAAATCTCTTTCCATCTTAAAATATTACTGTTTTTATTTTTGATTTATGCTGCTATACTCTTTTGCTATTCTTTCTTTTCTTTTTGTACCGACAACAATTTAACATTAAATATTCAAATTTTCTTCAATATCAGTGGTTGAACTTGAAAAGAATATTGTCACATGATACTAACGTAAGTTGGATCTTCCCGCACAATCCACGTCTACAGGATATCCACAAGGATAGTTATATCTGACATTGGGATTGAACAATAATCCATCAGGGCATAGCATTTGTTCCGGAATCCCATCGTTGCATTCTATATATGCGTCGCATTGAGATGCGATAGCGAACCTGCCATACTTTTCTGGACAGGATTGATTGTGAAAGGCAGCTGTAAAAATAAGATATGGCTTTTTGTCTATATAATGCTACAAGATATTATTCACAGAATGAAAATTTATTTTATGTTAATAATGAAACCTATAACAATAAACTACAATAAAAATTCTTTAATAATGGAAATATATTAATAAAGATGCTTTGATCAAGAAAATATTAATGACAAATTATTGATGATAAAAATTTGGATTTCAAGCAAGAAAAATAAAGCAAGTCACGGTACGACAGAAAAATAATTTCCTGAAATTGCAAACAATCTTACGAAACACCAGGAGAAATCTAAGTTTTTCAATATACATTTGTCAAACACCTGTTCTAACATTATTCTACAGAGTTTCTCAACAGTCTGATTTTGTCTCCTGTTATTCATTTTCATTCTGGGTATATTTCTTATTTCATAATTTCCAAAGTGATTTATGATGAACTTTTCTGAAATTGATATTTTTAGTCCGCTTTTATGACAAATTATTTGATAATTACTTTGTGCAAATTCTCTATAAATTTTCAGAAAAATATTTCAAGATCTTTTACTCTCTTAATTTAAAAAAAAAAATTTCTCCCTATTTCACCTTTTAATATACCCATTTGCAAAACTGAACAGACCAAACTGTTAATTACTAGTGAATGGTTAATGAATGCAAAGTTACTTTCGCGGACCTTGGAATTGGGAAACCCTGATTCGTTGCATAATGCAGCACTATGAAGACGAAACCGGTCCCCGGATCTTGCGTGCTCATGCATTCACGCTTACTATCAAAAAGCCTCGAACGGAGAAAGTTCGACGATACGATTTGACCTCTGGACTTCTCTCTCTGTTTTCGTCTTAAATACCAGTTCACGCGAACTCATTTAGCTATTCTATCCGAAATTGAAAGTAGAATAGTATAAATCCTGGTTGATCCTAGATTGTGAAATAGTAATTTTGGTCAAACAAAAGAGTATGCCAGAAAGAAAAACAGTTTTCTATTCCACGGTTTAGTCTAATTTTCACATAACTAGGAAGCTAGGTATCAAGATCATCGTGTTCAATGATTTACATAATATGTTTACAAAGTAGATCTACAATTTATAACATGCTCTATGATGTTAAATGATGTCTTAAATTACAGTATTTCTTTGGAAGTTAGAAATTTGTCTTTTTATGAAAAAGATCCTTAGAACTTAAAAATTTTCTATTTTCTGATAAAGACATTTTTTATGCAACTGAAGAGTTTTCTTTTTAAAATAAAAAGAGAGTTTCATTGGTTTTGTGGATGGTTGAAAGAATTGTTAATGGGACCATAATGATGGTTAACATGGAACTCGCAGCGTGAGCAATGAAACTGTTTTAATGAGAACCGTTGCGATTTTGATCGCAAAGCGAGAATGAGAATTATTGTGGGAGAATAGATACGCAAAACGTGACACGGTGATGCAAAACTATAGTTGGTGATGAAGACCTGAATGGTTGCTGGTTGAACGTGACAATCATTGAATTTTAACAAACTATTTTTGTTGATTGGATAATATAAAAAGATATCACGGTTGAGCATACAGGTTGGCACTATCAAAATCTTTCTACATTTGTGACTCCACAAGCTGAATAATCAAATGAATCTATCGAGGTATCTGTTAATGTATTCCAAAACTGACTCAAACAAAAGTCAGTGGTGTTTAGATTCTTGGAAAAAGTAATGGAACTAGTATCATAGAATACATATATATTGAAATATTCTAGATTTGTTTCTAGATTTATTGTAGATTTATTATTAGATATTACATTAACATTAAAGATATTCTGTATTATAATCAGTTTTAATGATAATTAAATTAATATAACTTATAAAGATTTATAACGAATCTCTTTAATTGAATAGTGTAATAGATATAGAAAAGGTATAGAAGATATTCCCAATATTACAGAAGATACTGACATTTACACATAATTGAAGATTAACAATTACTATCTTCTAAAAAATATCAAAAGTATAATGTTCAAAATTTTTAAAGAATTGTACAATTTTTTTCTATGACTAACTGTACCAATCATTATCTCGTGACTACAATTTACACTAATTCTGGTTCTGTTATTACAATAATTATGATCATCCTTAGTGATAGAGAAATACAATGCAATTGAAAATAGCAAAGAGATTTTACTGAAACAATATCACTATAATTGTAAACTCTACTTCATGATTCCATTGACTGTATACGAAATTGTTAATTAACCTTCCACTGCCATGCATGTGACTTGAAAAATTGGATGTTAATCTATCTCAAGAATTAGAATTCTTCTAACTAGAAAAAGAAATATATCGTCACTTTAACATTTATACTTTTTGAAATAAATAAAAAATCTATAGTGTTAAAAATATTCATAGTTTCTATTAGAAATGAAGAAAATCCTTTTAGAAAACAGAAATATTTTGCCCTGTTATTGTACAGTTTTGCCATTAATCATGTTATTTCTCTTTCATTTTCATTAGAATTGATACTAATATTGCTTTTTTTCTTTGTAGATAAAGGAACAAATCGCGGAGGAACATATACTTTCAAGAGAAATCATACTCAGAAGACAAGAAAATATCACTGTTCAGAAAATTCAAGAGAACGTGCCCATTTTTTCAAACGTATGATAATCCTTGTACTCACAGTTCGCGAGGCCGAGCATGCCGCTCACAATCAACAAACGAACGATCACTGTCGTTAGGGTCATCTCGAGCTCTTGCTGTCCCGACTACCAAAACCAAAACTACCTGACTTCTCTTCCTCGCGAGCTTTTATGATCTTCACGTCGACCGACGCACGTGTCCGCTCCTTCTCTATATCTTTCCTCCTACAATCTTCTGAATTACTTACAATTTTCCGTGTTAGACCACATCATATATATGTAAATCAGGATTTAATGGAGTTCAAGATAAAATGCTTGATAGAAACAGCTATATCAATATTTCTAAAATAATTCATTATTTCACTTCTTTGCCCTGTTTCTTTAATTAATGGAAATACAGTGTTGGGGATACATTAAAAAAGTTATTATTTTTGGTCTTCGAAATCCATTGTGTAAAATTGTTACAATTGATAATTGATGATGGTTAAAAAGGATCTATTCAATTTCTAAATATTTCAGTCGAGTGCTCAACATTGGTTCTCCAAAATGGCGGATCCAACAATACTTCAACCTCATTTTTTTTTCCAAGCTAACAATCCAAACTAAGATTTGAAATTTTGAAGTTTATGTTGCAGGTTCTTTTTCTTCATATATCTTGAAGAAAACGTTTGTAGACGAGCAAAAAGAAACCTGGAAAATGTCAAGGTTCAGTTCGATGGACGCCTGAGGCTCCTCTAACTGCGGAACTTCTGGTCATCGTTGGACATTGCGTAAATTCTAGGTTTCATCTATTATTTATACATTTTTCCTTTTGTACATTCTGGGAAGAAGTCCATATTTTTTCATTTTTTATCATATATCAAATCGAGTGAAAGAAATGTAGTCATTTTATAAATAAAGAAAGCTATCTTTATTAAATTTGTGCACATAATAGTTACTCGAAGAATAAGGAATTAAAAAAAGGAATTAAAAATTAGGATGAAAAGAAGTAACAAAGTCAAAATTGAAATTAAATTAAAAATAAAAAGAGATGATTTTTTGAGAAAGAATGAAGTTTTTTTAAACAGGCAATTAAAACAATATTACGAATTCTTTGGAAACATTCTGCAAATAATTATAGAAAATCTGTATTTGTAATTGTCATTCATATTAATCTACAAGAAGACGGACTGACATGGTTTACTACCATAAGCAACTACTGCAAGATTTTTATTCGTCCCGAAATAGAATTTATTAGAAAGAGTATTACGAAACGATCCATTGTCTTGTTCAGTTAAATAGATATTACAACGCGAAATCAAATTTATCTTATCTACATGACCATTATTTCTACCTAGGGATTTCGAATTGAAAAGTTAATGGAATGCATATGATTCGTGATACAAATTCTTATCTGCACACTGCGATAACATTGTAATTTCAAATTATAAGCAGATTATTTCAATAGTTCAAGTACAGTGTAAAACTAATGTAAAGACCTAAGATTTATTCTGCTTTATTATTCTCAATATTTCGAATAACATATCCTCCTTGAGTTACTAACTTCCATACTGAATGCAATCGAGAATTAATTATTTTGTAATTGTACATTAATTTGTAGCTAATAATTTTTCTTCTTAAACGAATGTTTCAGAAATCGAATTTTTCTCCACATCTGTCACATTCAGTTAAAAGCGATCATTTCTCAATTCAGCAAATAAGAAAATGGAACTTGCCTCTGGATGACACAGTCTCATGTCATAGATATATAGTAATACGTCTTTTCATTCCTATAATGGTAACAGTGTTTCATTTAATTAATTCCTTCTATGATGTTCTTCCAGTTATTATGTAATATTTTTGACGTTGTATTCGTTCGAGGAAGTTTTTTAATTTCAATTGTTTCTACGTAATATGATATTCCCGCAGGGGAGGCCGCCAGGATAAAGACCGCGGTTGCCACGGTCAAAATTCCTGTTTCTGTGAGCCTTTTGGGTGGTAGCGTACCCACGGACCCGAGACGCTCCTCCCTCTTGAGTGATAAATCTTGCCATGGTGACTAATAACTAACAGTTATCATTAAATCTGAGTTCAGTTCTGGGGATAAAATAAATATTCTGACTGCCTGCTATTAAATTCGTGGAGACAGTGTTTTAATAATCCAAAAGCGTGTCCTCATGTGTCCTTTTGACTTGTCAAGGGTCGCTGATTTCTTTTCCATTGAATGTCACATCAATTTATATAGTTCATCACTATGTTTTTTCAGGTTCTTAGCAGAGATAGCGCTAGTAGTACGGATTTCAGGATAGTCAGGATAAATATTCTGACTGCCTGCTGTTAGATTTGTGGAGACAGTGTTTTAATAATCCAAAAGCGTGTCCTCATGTGTCCTTTTGACTTGTCAAGGGTCGCTGATTTCTTTTCCATTGAATGTCACATCAATTTATATAGTTCATCACTATGTTTTTTCAGGTTCTTAGCAGAGATAGCGCTAGTAGTACGGATTTCAGGATAGTCAGAGTGATTGCACCGACGAGATTTAGCAATCCATCGCGTGTGTATAAACAGGCTACGTCCTTTCCATATTATACCATCGTCTGAAATACCGACATCGTGAAGAATCGTTGGTTCTTTAGCGCACTTTTACGCTTGAAGAACGGTAAATTGCAGAACTACGGTCGAGTAGAACGATCAAAGTTGATCAAACAGTGCCAGAGGCCGACGATGTTTGAAATCTGTTACAGTGTCGTTAAATTTTGAATACCGAAATGCGAAGCTATCGAATAGTGAAATTCTACCAAGTATCAAAAAGGGCGTATTTCGCGGTAGATCTTTGTTGAGTAAAATTCTAAGTTTCTACTTCATAGAATATTTTTACAAACAATTTTCAGCCGAATTAAGTCTAAATCCTCAACTGTTTCTTAAAATTATTCTCTGTACAAGTCGGTTGATCATGATTATTCATTTCAACAAAAACTTGTTGTTTCTTGAAATATACATATAAAACAGTAAATAAATAATGCTGCAAACTTTTGTGCTTGAAGATCTGTTGAAAATTTACAACTTTTTCATTGTATAAAATATGAGAAAATCACAAGTTATTGTCTGCCTTTTACGTTCTGCAAGCTATGCTTTCATTAGAAAAACATGAACTCGCCTCTGTCTTTTTTTAACTCGTTTCCCATTTTTTTTGGAACAATCAATTGCCCCAGGTGTTATCATTCGTGAAATATGATAAAAAGAGCTTGAACATACACACATTTAAGCATAATTCAACGAGCTAGTAATTTTTTATTCATAAAAGTATAAATTTGCATATCAAAATAATGGCAATAGTCCAGTAACGACTCGGTTACATGTACCAGTAATTTATTGATGATATACTCTATTCAGTATTTTTACAGCCGAGGAGGTGACAGGAAGATCTGTTCTCGACGCTGAGGACTGGTGTACCGCACAAAGGGAACGGCGTTGCCGGTACTGTTTCTACATCCGACGTGGCGTGTGAAACCAGCCAGGCAAAGGGACCGATGCAACAAGAGCCAGCCTGGGAGTGCCTTTTTAATGTCACGGAAGGAGTTACCTTTAAGTATCGTCGATGTCGAATCACATGATTCGTTAGATTGGGAGAGAGTCCGATAGTGGGTGAATGGTCGAAGATGTCCATTGTTTTATTACACATACCTCCTTTTCCCTCGTGTCGCTTTTCCAGCCCACAGGAGAGGACTGCTTCTTCGCATTCGTTTGATTGTTATTTATCCATTTGTGGGAAACTTTTCAAAGTACCAAATGCAAAAACATGTAAAATATGTTTGGTCCGTGAAACGCGTTTTTATTTAGATTTTTACTTGTGGAAGATGTCAGTTTGCATGAATATTCGCAGTCTGGCTGTCATTATGTTTATTTCGTTGTCTAATAAGATTGTCCACGACAATGATGATACACGTTTGAAGAGTAATCGTTGCTTTTGCTTCGACTACAATGTTTACAAGTATGAAATTCCAATACAAATCTAGACGTGCCTTGATCATATAAAGTGCATCTCTAAGATTTATTTTCGCCATTTAATTCTTTTAATCCTTTTACCAATGAAAAGTAATGGGAATAAGAAGCTTATTCATATATTTCTTATTTATTAAACATGACAAATAGACTGTAGAACTTTTATTAAAATTCATATTTTTGACAATATGAAATTAAGAAAATGGAGTCTAGATAGAAAATTATTTTATGTATCAAATATTATTCAAAGTATATTATGGATGTTTTATGTAATGTATTGTTTACATCATTAATTTTTGTACTTTGGAATTTCCTATGAATGAATAAAAAATCTAATGATTTAATGATAAATAACGTTAAGTGAAATAGCAGTCAGTGGTTTAAGAAATTAAGCAGAGATGCAAGGGTGTGACCATTGCATTTACTTATGCTGTAATAATTTTACTATTACTTTCTGGTCACGTACATGGCTGTGCTTTTAGAAGAATTATTATTGCGTGCATGACAGAGATATATATTGGTATTAAGGTAGAAAGAGCATCTTCTCGTTATGTGCTCATTATGTGTCATTCAGAGGAATGATATGGGAAATACGCGAAAAGCTCATCGATATGCGTTCACTCGGGGCATCAGAAGGAAACTGAACGCCTTCTGTGAAAGTTACGTGCATCCTTGACCTAGTATTCTAAACGAGGAGATCGACATTAGTGAAAACATAGGGATGACTTCTTGCAGGAAACCCCTCGAAGCCCAGGAAAGTTACGAAACTTTGCGCTTTCTTTGTGACTTGAAATTTTCTCGAAACTTGGACAACAAGAAATGTAAAATCAACGAATAAAGATAGTCGTTGCAGCAGCTGTGAATAAAGAATGTTTGATTCACGAATATTTTAATTGGTCGAGTGTACATTTAATATTCAATTGTTAATATGTAATTGAATTTTATTGTTACACGTTGTTGCGAATTCGATTGCTATTTATCACGGAGTTTTAATTAATCCGTGGTTATATAATGATTGTGTTTATTAGATAATGGCATTAAGCAGTCGTAGGATGATTGATTAGGATACATGTTTTTTAATTAAGCGCGGCAAATGACAAACGACATTCCTCTTCCGCTGTTTGAAATACAGTGAGAATCCTAGTGGCAGCCGCTCCGACTTAATTTCACATAATTAAATGGTTATACGGTCCGCTGAGATTTCATTAAGCTCGTGCGGCTAATTAGCAAACTGCTAACATTCCTAACTGCGCCACGTCATTGAATCATTTCGTTTCATAATTCAGAGAAAATGATTTATTTATTGCCAGAGCGCGCTCATTCCGAGCCTCGTGATCTTTTGAGGAGGTCTCTTCATCTAGCTTTATTACTCTTCGAAAGACGAATCACGAATATAAATAAACTCGCTGAAGAAATTTCCTGAATTTGTAGGGAGAGAATTTCAATATTCTCGACTTCGTAGTTTCTCAGAAAACTTCGACAACATTCCCAGTCTCGCTTCGTGAAAAATTTCCTAGATTCCCAAACATCAATGCAAGGTTAGGTTTAGGTTATGTTAGATTAGAGGTTAGAGGTGGAGATAGCTCAGTTGATAGAGCATCAGACTCTCAATCTGAGGGTTCAGG